CTCCCGCCGGGCGCGCGGGCCGGGACCGCACACGCGCCGCAGCCCCCACTCACTCGCCCAGGACCCGGGCCACCCCCAGCTGCTCCAGCGCGGGGCAGACGCTCTCCGCATCCTCCTCCTCCGGAGGGACCGCGGTGCCCCGCACATCCGGCCAGCCGCACTCGAACGTTTCCTCGGGGGTCGGAGAGGGGCGCGTGGCCGGCTCCACCCCCACAAACTTCCCTGCGGGATAGGGTGGGAGGCAGGGGTTGGCGGGACTGCGGGCGCCCACCCCGGCCTTCCTCCCGGTGCACATCCCGGCCTCTCTCTCGGCCCAGTTTCCTGTTTTTCTTCCTTATTCTGGTTCCAGGGGCCTGAGAATGGGAGGTGACACCAGGCTCCCATCCCGTCTGGGTCCGGTGGGCAGGGGACAGGAGGCCAAGGCTGTGTTCAACAGGCGGCGTGGGGCGGGTCCTGCAGGACCCCTGCCTCCACACCAGGCGGGGAGTGAGAGGAACGGGGCTGCTGGGGGCCGGGGAAGGAAGCAGGCAGGGCCCCTGCTTACCCAGGCCCAGGCAGAACTCCCGGGCCGTGAGGAAGCCCGTGTGAGCCTGGTCCAGGCTTTCAAACACAGCCTCCAGCTGCTCCGGGGTGAGGGGCAGGTCGCTTTGCAGGCCCTGGCCAGGAGGAGGGCATCATGAGCAGCCAGGGCCAGCTGGGGGCCCCGAGTACCTCCTGAAACCCGGACTCACCTGCAGGTCAAGCCTGGTGATGAAGCCCTTGGCCTCCTTGTCGCACAGCAAGAAGAGCTCTTGGGCCTGCTGCAGCACCTCCTCCGTTGGCAGCCTGGCAGAGGCCCCTTCCTCCCCTTCCTCCGCCGGCGGGGCCTCCCCAGCCCCAGGCTTTCTGTGGCTGGCCATGGGGGCAGGGTCTTGATGCAGCCGGGTGCTGTGGAGCAAGGGGGGTTAAAGGAGCAGGGAGGAGGGGCTGTGTGATGGGGAGTAGGCCGGGCGCTGGCAGGGCGCTGGCTCGGCCTCTGGCAGCAGGTGATGTGAAGGCCCAGCGGCTGCAGGGGGCAGAAGGTGCCCTGCCGAGGAGGCCCAGGGTGTCGCTGGAATGGGAGGAGGCCAACACTGGGACTAGGAGGACACAGGGCCCCAGAGAAAGGCCGTCTCTCCAGAAAGGGACTGGTGCGCTGGGATGAGATCCTGGGGTCATGGGGTGAAGGAGGGCGGGGGAAGGGCCCACTGCATCCCAGACTTGCGGTAGGTACTGGCAGTCTGCGCTGACCAGTAGGTTTTAGCCCCCTGCGGGGTCTGTGATGCCCAGGTCAACTCCTCCCTCCTGTCCTCTGCGCTCTCCCATCCCACCAGGCAGCTCAGGGAGGCAGGTGCGGGGTTCCTGGCCTGAGCACCCCGCCACCGGGGTCACCCTCCCTGGTCCCCCTGCGGCCCTCCCCCTCTCCCTGCTCCCCGTTCCTGTCCCAGGCCTCACTGCTGGCCGCGCTCCACCCTCCCCTCGGGGCCACCTGTCACCCGGACCCGGGTGTCCCTAAGCGCTTCTCCAGTCACGGGGCCTGGGATCCGGGAATCTCTCCCGCCCGTTGATCCGTCCTTCCAAGCAGCTCATTCTCCCTCCACCCATTTTCCTAGGGAAGGGCGTCGGCCCCCCAGCACAGCAGGGCCGCGAAGGCTCCGGCTGGGCGGGAGGCCGCCGGTCCTGGGGTGGGCCTGGTACGGTCGCCGCGCCTCCCCTCCACGGCTCCCGGGCTCCACGGCTGCGGGGCCCCGGCGCC